CCTATTGGGCATCTATTGAAATTCGCTTTACAGCTTAGCATGTGAGTCATTGTAACATTTGATGGAGCACCCTCGAAAGTTAGTGATATCAATTATGCACCTGTTTCATCAATTAATTGAATGCACTGCGAAACAATTGAACATTTTTGGCTTCGCCTCAAACTATTTGCAAAGAAATAGCCTACAGGTAACTTCCAGGATGTGTTAACATCAACAACCATTAAAACAAATGCTTCTTTTGCAACTTCAGTTAAATCAATATCTAAATCAACACCAAAATTTACATACCCATAATACTTCTTCCCATCCCATTCCACTTGTTGTCTAAGTGAAATTTCATCAACAATAAGCGCTTGAGTACCATGCGAACCTGAAGTACCTGGCACAGCCTCTAGGTGCAATGCTTTTCTTTTCACTGTCTGCAAAAATGTGAGTTAAGAAGAATATTATGTACATATTAAAATGCGTGTATTTCAAAAATATTTCGAATAAAACAATTACTATTATATTATACCTATACTTACACCTTGTAAATTTTGGTAATTCTATGAAATTACAATAACTAAGAATATTTAGGAATGTACTTACCTTCTTTGGCTGCATGTAATTTGGCAATTCTGGGAATATAGTAGGGACTGCTGAATGTAGTAGACATCTTTTAAAATCAGTTTGATAGAAAAACCGCTTTTCGAAATGCTTTGAACATAATCTATCATTTGGCGACGGCGTCCAATTTTCAAGTTTAACTGCCTGAACCCAAAGATTTTTTTTTACAGGATTCGCAGGAAATCTAAAAGAGCAACCAAAATTAAGTTGATGAATTGAACATGAAAACCTAATACAAGCATTTCAATAATAAAAAATCAAAAGTATAACATTATTATATACACTAAAGTCCATAAATATTTTCGTACCGCACGCCTCTGGGAATTATAGCTTATCTGATGATATGAAACCGATTAATTATCAAAACTTGAATGAAAACATAAAATAAACAAACTCGACTGGTAATAATTATAATTCCGGCTTTGGGACACGTACATTATATAAA